ATATCGCCGAGATTTTTCCTCTCGACACGCCATGGGACTCTAAAGCCACGTCGTGGGACTCATATTTTCATTGTTTTTCTTCCTTTTAAGCTCTGTTAAGCTCCTTGATTCAGCTCCAGTCCTTCCAAGTTCCAGTATTTGTCATTTTTGCTCCTTTTCCTTCAAGAGTATCCTATTTCGCTGTAAAATATAATTCAACTCAATAAGTACCAAATATCTTTGCAAATAACAAAAATATAGCTTAAAACGTATTAAAATAATGCCTAAATATATGTATAAATATATCAATATCACGTATCATTTGGATCTACCCTCTGACCTTAGCCAGATTCATGACACATTTCATGTCTCTCAGATGTGGAAGTGTTTGGCTGATGATATTGTAGTAGTATCCTTGGATAACATTCATGTTGATGAATGCCTGAACTATGTGGAGATATGAGTTATAATTCTAGACAGGAAGACAAATACCTTGCACAACAAGGAGGTGGGTTTGGAAAAGGTGCAATGGCAACACCGAAAGGGTTCCTAGTGGGCTTGGGAATGTGAGGATGAGATGAGGGAGCATTACCGTGAGTTATTCGCAACAGCGGACATCAAGGACAAATTATGATTCAAGTGAGGGAGAATTGTAACACCCGGTTCCATGTACGTATTTCACTTTATGTTTATTGAGGATTTTGGGTTGTCCACGGCATGGTGAAAGGATCACCATGACGTGACATTCCTGCATGGAACAGACGTTTCTTTTTTACGCCGCGACTTGGTCATGCAAAGGCCACGACATGACGATGTTGGATGTTCAAATCCTAAATTTCCAGGCACAAAGTCCTATTCAAAGGAAGTGATGGCTATGGTTTTCCTCACCCTCAACCTCCATCGCCTCCTAAAGTGTTCTTGAGCAAAACCATAGCCCCTTGCAAGCTTGAAGCTCATTTTGGTGTCTTTGGTGCATTTTAAATGAAGAAGAAGAAGGTTTTGGTGTAAGGATCCAACAAGCCACTCCTCATCATCCTTGGAATTACTCTCTGGACCATTTATAAGTCCTCACTTTTCCAACTTGATGATTCCTTCTTGTATATCTAGTATTCTTAGCAAGTTTTGGTCCATAAATGAAGTTTGAATGATGGGATGAGATTTTAGAGCCATGCATGAAGTTTTGGGTCATTTACTCATATTTTGACCTAGTTGAGTGAAGGACATGCATGGGTCATGCATGTCCATAAAGTTTGTATTTTTTTGTCTGGACCCTTATGGTCCCAAGAAGCATTTTGGAAAGTGAGAGTTGAAGGCTTAATAGATTAAGAGTTGAATCCATTAAGCTGTCTTTATACAGTTTCCACGACATGACGATTTGCTTGCCACGACGTGGAGGCTACTCTGGTCGCGACTGTTTTTTCTGGACTCTGTCACGGCATGGAGGCATGCTTGCCACGACGTGGTAATTGATTTTTGATCGGGATCAAGTTAGATGACCACAACGTGGCCATTGGTTGGCCACGACATGGAGGGCAGCTAGTGTTGACTTTGACCTAGTTTGATTTTTTTGTCAAATGGCTAGTTTTAGAAGGTATACTAAGAGTTTACCGTGTATGATTCGTTAGGAGGTATGTAGCACCTGCTTCTTGACTATGTGAGCTGGTTAGTTGTCGACTACGTTTTCGAGGTGAGTCTTCTCACTATACTATGTAGGATATTAGTTGTCTTTGTAACATTTGTATGAAAGACCAGGGTTTAGCCCCTGACATTTATGTGAAAGACCAGGGCTTAGCCTATGAAAATTGTATGGAAGACCATGATTTGGCCCCTGACACTTGTACAAGTAAAGACCATGATTGAGCCCATGGAAGGAAGTAAGACTATGATTCGGCCCATAGCAACCCATTGGGGTTGAAATATACTCGTTATGTTATGTATCGTATGTGGTATTTTGAAGAACTCACTAATCTGTGTGCTTACATTTTCATGCTTAAAACTTTTCATGTACTTCTGGTTCGACAGGGAAGGGCCCAACTTGATAGCATTGCATCCCCCCAAAGATTTATTCCATACTATCTATTTGATACACCCTGATGTTTGGAGAATTTTATATACATTGGTTGTTTTTTACTAAAGGTTTGTATGGCTTGATAAGTTAAAATCAATTTTATTACTTAGTATTTTTGGGAAGTCTTCACTTCTATTTGAGCATCTTCAGTAACATCTGTATTTGATTGTAATATCTTTTGGTACAAACCAATATCAAATTCACTAGCTGCCTCAATAAAGTCATTTTTTATAAGCTCTTTCTCTCGATCTATTGTAATACTAACATCAACATCATAATTCAAGCTCAATTTCTTACTATAAGATGACATCCCTTTGTTTTTATTAATTATCCTTATCATATTACACTCTGGGGATATTGGAGTTGGCAATGATTCTTCTAAAACAAGGGATGATCTAGGTGGAATTATTCATGGTTGTACCTCAGCTGTGGGGTTTTCATTATCATCATTTTCATCTATTTCATCCATATGTACAATAGTTACCTTCCTAACATGTTTAGGATTCATAAAGTAGGTAAGTAACTTTGTCTCACAGTGTTCAGTATATACCCTCACGAGTTTATGATCGCTCACATATTGGGAAAAATTATGTAAATCATCATCATTGCCTCAAGGGTGAAGACCAAAGGAAAGTCGCCACTTGGCATAAGGAAGTGATAGTAAATCACTGGAGGAACACTGTACCTTAACCCTCTCATGATGACATCTAAGTCACGAATTGAAAACTCGTCTGTATCCACCATGTCAACATAGTTCACTCTTCCTTCAATGTACTGAACATCAAGAAACTTGGTGAACTCACCTCTATGGTATAACTTGATGGTAAACAATGTTGGGTGACCATCTTTAAATCAAGAACAAAAACAATTTTAAAAACATGATTTCACAGTGAAGCGATGTAATGTATAGAGAAAATGTGAAAAAACTTACCATAATCCACGTTTGCGTTGAGCGGTTTGTCTAAGAGCCTTAAATTCCACATTGGTATGTTCATACACTAAGCCAACTACGATGAAACAAAAAACCTCAACTTTGAGATTAGTGCTTTTGATTGTGTAATGAAAGATGAAGATGAAGGTAATCGGAGATGGAATCCACAAAAATTTAAGTAGGATTTGGCGGTAGGTATCAATTAATAAGGGGGGTATTAAATTAATTACATATTAAGGAAGAATATATGAATTGACAAATTTACCCTCACCTAAATGGAAGGCATAAACGACTGTTAAGCCTTTGGACCAAATTCACAATAAATGTAACATTTTGGACCACTGGTACAACTCCAAAACATTTTGAATTAAACATTCAATTTTTGACATTCCACAAGGACCAAACTTGCAATTTTGTCTAATATATATTTAGGACTTAAGAACTATTTTTTGTGATGATAACTTCTATTAAATCAATTAAAAGACGTATATATCTTAATGCCTAATATTTAGGTTAGTAATAAAAATATTGATTTTACCTTTATAGCATGTCTATTTCACTAATCTCTATTCTAATAAATAAATAAGTTTATTCTCCTATTGACAAGTATCACAATATTATAAATTCTCATTAATATTATATGTCACATGTCAACCTATTAATTCTCTATTTCAAATTTTAAAATTTAAATTTCTCACTCTAATTACATTAAAATAATATTTGATAATTGATTTTTCATTTTTAAATTTCACACTCTAATTACATTAAAATAATAACATTTGAATAAAAAATAAAATAAAATAAATATATATTATAAGGTGATATAATTTCATGTACTTATTTAAATCAACGATTACAACTTTATATAACTAAAAAAATATCTCTTAATTAATAATTTATTTAAAAATAATTTATTTGAAATAATTGATTAATAGTTTTAAGTTTTTACTATGAAAGTTTAATTAATTTTATAACCGTGGTTCTCACGGGTTATAAACTAGTATAACAATATTTAGGTATTTTTGTAAATCTATTTCATGATACCAATGAAAACTAAACTTTAGAAAGTCTATTATTTGCGAATTGTGTTTCTTCAGTTTTATTTTCATTATTTGACGGTTAGGGTTCTTCACCTTCAATATCATGTGTTGTTGATATAAATTTTCTTTGTAGTAATGAGACATATTTTCACCAAACAATATAAAAAAAATCACATTTTTTCTTAGATCCTATTTATCAAGGATTAAACCTAAATACCTAATTCAAAAGCAACAATGACATATTAACCTTCGAAGACTAGAACATAATATATGGAAATGAAAGCATCCAATAAATCTTCTACCATTGATAAGATCAATACTAAAAGTCCACCTTTGGGTCCAATATCCCCAATCATCCCTAACATTTTTAGCTAATCGGGGTGCATGAAGTCGAGAATTACAGCTAGAAGCAGAAGACGCTCGCCATAAAGAGTTGGTTTATTCTTCAAACTGGATGTTAAGTGTACAACGTAGATATATGGTAATAAAGGGTTAGAGTAGCCATATTGGAAAAGAAAACTAAAATATAGATAGTTTTTATTGTCCAAAATAAAATATGTTTGTAAAACCAAAATATAGTCAAAATATACCGGTTTTTATGTAAGTTGTCTTTTTTCCAATAATATTGTTTTATGAGAAATTATAATTTATTTGTTTAAAGAAATTTGAAACTGAAAAAATGTACGCAAAACGTAAAATATAACTTTTAATTAGATGAAACCGTTAAAATTAATGATATTAATTTTCAAATACAATGGTTGAAAAAGTAAATAACTTACAACATTCCAAACATTAATTAATATAAATAAATATAATTAAAGATGTACAAGTATGATGGTTAAGTTTGTAGAATTATATATGAATATGAATTTACAAAATAATTGTATGGTCCCCACACGTGCTAGCTTGGGTATGGATTAAGAGGTCTCTCACGTGCCAAAGAGTCTTTATAAATACAAGCACGGTTGAGGAGTGGACAACCCAGAAAAAAGGACTAAAAAAATACACCATCTTCCCTCCTCCCTTCCCCTCCAATGTCTTTGATTTTATACTAATCCATTACACTAGTGGCTACTGCTCTCTTCTGTCACACGCAATTTCGGGCTTACTCTGTGTGTGTGTGTGTGTGTTTCTTGAAAGGTTAAAAACAGAGCCGATTCTTCTTTTCAACCCACCGATTGTTTTGTATATCAAAAGGGAAAAGTAGATAGAGACATGAGTAAGATGGAAAGAGAGAGTGAAATCAAGGTATCAAAGTTCAAAAGAATTTGTGTTTTCTGTGGGAGTAGTCAAGGCAAGAAAAGCAGCTACCAAGATGCTGCTATTGAGCTTGGGAAAGAACTGGTATTAATTTTTTTCCTTCTGAATCCGTTTTTCTTGATATATTTAAAATGTGTTTTTGAAATCTTGTTTCCTATTATCTTAATGGGGTTTTCGTTTTTGTTTGGAATCAAGAACTATAATGGCATAATGCTTTCTTTTTCAAGATTTTCATTTCACCATTGAGCAAAAAGATCAAGGTTGTGGGGTTTGGTTTCTTAATGACTTTTTGTTTGAAATCGACAATAAGAATGTGTTTTCTTTTCAAGATTTTTGTGGGTTTTGTTTTCTTTTCAATATATTTGTAGGGTTTTCATGAAATGAAATGATTTGATTTGTAGGTTTCAAGAAACATTGATCTCGTGTATGGAGGAGGTAGCATTGGCTTAATGGGATTGGTCTCGCAAGCTGTCCACGATGGTGGTCGTCATGTTATTGGGTAATCGATCGACATAATGTGTGATCTTAATTACTATTATTCTACCTCAAAAATCTCAAAAAAAAAATGCAAAACAAAATCACTGTGTTTGTTGTTGTAGTTTTTCGTTGATTGAAAACTAACTTTTTGTCATGTTATTGTCTCCCTTCTTCTGCAGGGTTATTCCCAAGACGCTCATGCCTCGAGAGGTATGTCTAAATATCAACGAAAAGTCTTGAAACTTTCCATGTTTTTATATTACAGTATTATAGATCATATCTACACATAAGAAAATAAAAAGAAAAATAAATCTTGTACACTTTGCTAGTGCCTTGCTTTTTTGTTTTCCAAAAAGGTATACATAATGTGGTTTGAATGTTTGATTATTATTTGTGTTGTTAAGCATTTATTTCTTGTAAATATGTTGGCGTTATCAAGAGTACAATCTGGAGCAGGTTTTATAGTTTTTGCCTTCAAATGACTTATATGATTTTTTTCCTTTTGCGGTGTCATATTTTTCCTGATATTTTCAGCGTGTACGTACAGTTGGCCTCTTGTACCTTTCTTCCTTGTCATTTTCTGAATATACATACAACATATCTATATGTACATGTATGAGTAATTGAGTTTACACATACATCATACATGATACATACACATATAAATGTGTGTGTGTGTCGTACTGAAAACTCTGGAAAACTCTGAATCTGTAAAAAGATAAATTGAAAGTCCACCATTCCTGCAACCCTCATCATTGTTTTACTGCACACACAAACACAACACTTCGATATCATTTTTTTTTTTTTGATGATTAATTTATTTAATTGAGTGTGATTTACGTTATTTTGTTTGTTGATTGTTTTGTGTTTTTTGGCAGTTAACTGGTGAAACAGTAGGGGAAGTGAAAGCAGTGGCAGATATGCATCAAAGGAAAGCAGAAATGGCGAAGCATTCTGATGCTTTTATTGCTTTACCAGGTTAGTATAAAACCTGCTTTCATATTCTTTCACTAAAATCTCATAAACAGCATTTAACTCATTACATAAAAGGGATGTCAGGTGCTTTTATTTATTTGTCTTCTTTCTTTCATTCAATTGGAGATAAAATTTCAAGATTGATTTATATGTGAGGTGGGGAGATGAAGAGGGCCCACAAAATTAGTAAAATTGTAGAGGGTGCTGGATTTATTTATTATATTTAAAGGGAAAAAGTAAAGCCTCGCAACATGAAAAATGTTAAAGGAAAATACAAATGGGTCTTATTCATGTTGGAATGAATTAAACGTGCTTAAAATTTCATGGATATTTGTAGAAAAGTTTTTTAAACTGTTTTTGATAGTAACAAGTGAATACAAATTGGCAATTAAGTAAAGAGTTTTTTAGTTGATTAAAAATCACTATGGCCCAAAAATGTCTCATATTTCACTCAGGAAAAATTAATGGTTGGATTAACACACAGACACGAATCCCGATATTAGTCTTCAAGAACCCAACAACAATATCTGAACACTGAAAATAAAGAAAGCTATTTTATCAGTAAACCTTTACATTTATTTCTTCAAAATTTCTTAATTTATTTCAAGTGTACAATCACTGATTCTGACCCCATTTAAGGGAATTTGATATCGTTATGGTACACTTGCCTAATTTAGTAAAGTTTCACTCCTTTAAAATAATTTCAATTTCACCATTTATGGTATGTTCTTGCTTCAAAATAAACCCAATTCATTTGCATCCTTAATGTGTTGAATTTCGATCAATTGCAGGTGGATATGGTACTCTCGAAGAGCTACTTGAAGTGATAACATGGGCTCAACTGGGAATTCATGATAAGCCGGTAAATTTCATGTCTACGAATTTCTAGGGTTTATAATCAAGAAAGGGATTAAGATGTTAATTAATTGATCTTGCAGGTGGGTTTATTGAATGTTGATGGATACTACAATTCATTACTGTTATTCATCGATAAAGCAGTAGAGGAAGGATTCATCAGTCCAAGCGCACGTCACATCATTGTATTGGCACCAACAGCTAAGGTTTTGGTTCGAAAACTTGAGGTAAGTACCCAAAACAAAATTGTTGACTTTTGAAGTCAAAGAAAGTTGAAAAAGTCAAGTGTTTGACTTTGTTTGACAAATTACAGGAGTATGTGCCTTGCCATGAAAGAGTTGCTTCGAAATTGAGCTGGGAAATGGAGCAACAGCTTGACTACAGTGACTATGATATATCTAGGTGATGATGAATGGATGCAGCAGTGTGATTTTGGTTTCTTTTTTTTGTTTTTTTGTTTTTTTTTTTTTTTTTTTTTTGATGAAGAGATTTGTGGTAGTGAAAAAGGTGCTGACTTTGAAAGGGTTTTTTGGTCTAAATTAGAATCTTGATGTCAAGGGGATTGATCTTCTTTTTTTGTAAATTATTATTGAAGATGTAATATGACTTAAAGAGTATGTGGGAAACTCTCACATATTTCTTTCACCCTTCTCATGCAACTTCAGTTTATTGTAAAATACAGTATTAGATGCCAAATGGAATTGCAAGATCTCTCATGTTTGATGTTTTGGGAATTTCGATCTCTAAAGCGAATCCTTTGTGATGAAATTTCGAAATGAAGATCAATGTTAGATAGATTGTTGATTTGGGGTAACAAAATTGATTGATAAAGATATGCAACAATTTTTTAGATGGTATCTTAGGTGAGCATTCAGGATCAAAATTCATTTAAGGTTGAAGAGGTTACATCTTTTGGTTTTATGTTGTGATTTTAGGGATGGAATTATCTTAAAGTGTAGCTAGTTGTAACATCCACAATTTCAGGCTAAAATTTTAGATCTTTAAGAATAAATTTTTAAAAAATAAATTTAATTTTTATTAAATTAAATAATTGTTATTATTAAAAAATGAGTATTTAATAGGTTAGAATTTAATAGGAGTTGATTTTTTAAGACTTGAAGTTGATCTATTTAGTTAAGGGTGAGAAAAAACTGAAACAAATAAAAAATAAGAAACCTCCAAAACAATGAAACTAAAATACCGAAACCAAAGCAAATACATGAGGGTGCTTGATTCAATTTTTATTCAAACCGACAAAATTCGGTTCGGTTTTACAAATCCTATCGACCGATTAAAACCGAACCGACCAAAATCCATCCCATAAAACGAACTGATTACATATAAAATTATATATTAATCTATTACCTTATGTGTAATATATATATATATATATATATATATATATATATATATATATATATATATATATATATATATATATATATATATATATATATAGAGAGAGAGAGAGAGAGAGAGTCAAAATCACATAAGAAGGAAATTTTTGGTAAGAAGGTAAGAAGTTTTTTTTCTACATATTTTTTCGCGAACAAACAAAATGAATCATTAGATGATTCAATTGTAAGATGATTCACAAGAAAAAATTCTTAAAAAAATATCTTGATGATTCATTTATACAATGATTTTGTTGTTATTCATTAAAATTGTCATAAAAGTGAATTTTTTCTTAATTTACTTAAAAATGAATAATAAAGATGTTTTTTTGAGAATTTTTTCTTGTGAATCATCTTACAAATGAATCATCTAGTGATTCATTTATTTTGTTCGTCAAAAAAAATATGTAGAAAAAAAACTTCTTACCTTCCTACCAAAAAAAATTTATTACCGGATATATATATATATATATATATATATATATATTATATATATATATATATATATATATATATATATATATATATAGGGCTAGGTTATTTTGTTTCTTACATTTATTGTGTGCTAGAATGCACCAATAGGAATTTAGTAAATTAAATAATTATTTAATTAAATAAATATAGATATTAAATGATTTCCATAATTATATGTATATTAAATGATATCTATAATTATAATTCTATTTTTATGGAAACTAATTAAATCCGTCATTAATGTCAGCAATAACATTTTTTCATAATGAATTCGCATCTAGGTTTTTATATATGAGTTCGTATTTTGTTTCAGAACTCACTCACTTAAAATACAATAAAGTTGCATGGAATATGAAGAACGAGAGTGTATTCTACTAGAATACACTCTCATTCTGCTGGAATACACTCTCATTCTTTTAGATATAATATTATTGTTGACATTAATGACGAATTTAATTAGTTTCCATAAAAATGAGTTATAAGTATGGATAGCATTTAATATACATATAATTAATACTAAATTTCTATTGGTGCATTCTAGCACACAATAGATATGAGAAACATTTGAACCTACCTCTCTCTCTCTCTCTATATATATATATATATATATATATATATATATATATATATATATATATATATATATATATATATATATATATCCCCTAATCTAATAAATAAAACCAATTTTGACACGTGACATTCTCTAAGCCCTCCAACTTCGATTTTTCTCGCTCAAAATACCAAAGTGAATTTCCCCAAATGCCCCTCTTGCTTCAGCTTTAATAGGTATGAGGTATGCATTTACTTTTGAATTGATATACTAAATTATCGGGCAATCAGTTTTGAATTCTATAGCAAGAAATCAGGAATTCCATAGAAAAGATTCACTCATTCACCTTCGTCTCCAATAAAGCTAAGCATCTCCTTCACCTTCATCTTTCGCATTTCAAATTCGCGGGTCTCTCATCTTAGTATGCTCTGGTCCCCTTTTGGGTCTCCACAATCTTCACCCCATCACTTTCTCTCTTTTCCAATCCCCTATCACAGTACGCTTCTCTCTGCTCCTCCAACTCCTAGGGTTCTTCGTTTCCCTAATTGGCTTTTGTTTCTAATTTCATGTTATAGTGACTTGAAAAAATTGCTAACATCTTCAATCGATTTAGGTTGAGTTTCAGTAGCAAATTGCAGGGATTTCGTAGTAGCGGTATAAGAATGGAAGCATCAAATCAAATGACTGTGCCAAGAAATCACTTATAATTTCAGGTGTTTACTCAAAAAATCATGTTCTCTTGCCTTGCTTCAACCATTGGGAAGTGAAAATTAGGTTTCATTATGTAGTTTCATGCAATGTCTTGAACATTCTCTAACCTTTTCTCCATTTTCTTTTTGTCTGTGGGTTTTGATGCACCGAAAGATATGTAGAGAAATGTTTTTTTTTCCATTTGACCTATCTTGCACACCATAAGAAGCCCCTACGATTTTTCTCAAAATGGTTTAAATTGTAGGAAAAGGTTCGAGGAGATTCATTGGCTTTCAGTCGAACACCAAGTGTTCGATGAAACTACTCAATGAGGTAACAAATGTTTCCTTCACATTTGATCCATGAATTTGTTATATTTTGATGAGAGGAGGGTTTATGTCATTGATTATTTGAAATGACGTGGCTTTTTTGTGAAGTTTATTGTAGGGGTTTGAATATGTATGGGCATTGATGATTTTTTGGTTGGAGAAAATAAAGCAGACATTTTTTGTTCCATGTTAAGTCTAAAGTTTGTTTGTTTTTTTTTTTCTGTTTTCCGATTTCTCATTAGAGAATGGTTTTTGATTTCCCATTTTGATCTACAAATGAGTCTTCTAAGATTTGAATTCCCTCTCCGTTGACCATCACCATGACAGTTACCCTAAAGATTTATGAGCAATAGATATCCACAAATGGCAATCGACAATCATCATGTGTTATATTGGTCCATTGATATGGAAACATCTTGGTATAAAGGTTTGTTTTTCTTGACATTTTAGCTCATTATGTGTGTAATATTAGAGAAATAAAAGAGAATTTAAGACAATGAAGATCACTAGCTATATTTTTCTAAGATTAGTTATAATTATGTTCTCAGTTAAAGTCCAGGGATCTGTTACTACTTTTAGTATTATTTTTTTTGGTTATATTGACTTAGATTGTCAGTTTTTCTTAGGTTTCATGGAAACTGGTTAACTGGTTTGATGTGTCATGTGCGAGCTTTGTTGCTACATTTTGTGCCTATTGCCTATTTTAGTTTTTGATGTTGGAATGTTGCCGCTGATGGTTGTTTTTGCTATTGTTGTTGGCTTTACAATTCTGCCAATAGGAATTAGATTTTGTTGTTGATGCTGGTGGTATGTTTGATGGAGCTTTTTAATGCATGTTATGTCAGTGTTAAACGACATGGGAAGGTCAAGGCAACTACGTCATCCACTTGAAGTAAGTAGTCAGCTAGCTTTTCTACCTAAAAATTAGATATTTCAGTCTTTCAGAGATGGGCCATTCTTATTGGTTTTTTGGTTTATGTAAAACTAAAAGATCCTATTTTCTAAAGATTTGAATTCCCAATAAACAACTATACATATCCTTAAATAACCATTAAATTCATCTTCATATTCTGCTTGCAGCTTTCCATATACATGTAAGTGGTGAACTAGACATTGGTAGCACACTTTGTGTAGATTTTCTCAAGTTTCGTGTTCCAACTATGACTTTTAAGTTCAACAAGCTTTTAGTTTCAAAGTGGAATTCTTCCAATTTTTTGGTAAGAATTTTGTTTTTATCTTACTTACATTTTATTTAATTTCAAAGGCAAGCTCAAATATTTTGTCTAAAAATCGCAATTTAGTCTCTCAGATAAACTTTATGTTATACCTCTACTAAAATTGACATATTCTACAAGGGGTAAAAGAGGTAATTCAAGCAATTACAGTGTGCAGCTATACATAGAGGCAAAGTTGTCTTTTTTCTTTTAAGTTTCTTATGTGATGTAGAAGTCCTACGTTGTGTTGAATACAAGTTTTGTGGTTTACTTTTTACAATTGATTATTGGTAAAATGCATTTTTCTGGTGTCGCTGTGTTAAAGAAGTTATGTCCTCATATTACTCCAATAAGTTCATTGCCATTCCTGACAACATTGTGGTCCTGTTGTGGCTCAGAAGTGTTGTGCCTCCGCCCTTTCTGGCTTCTGTGGCTATTGTACTGTACATTTAAATAAGTATAAAGTTTTAATTTACATGGCTGAATAGTGTTTTCTTTTTTAACTTTTAGTACTGTAGCTTATATATTTTTAAGATATATGTGTTATTGTTACATGATTTTTGTTTTGTTTATAAAAATAATTATCATGTTATTCCTTACAGCCACAAATTAATGTTAAAATTATGTTCAAGAATCTCATCTTCAATAGTTGTTTAATTCCACAAGTTTGCCATTTTTATAATACTATTATCTCGACCTTGATGTTTGTTATATAAACATTAACGAATTATTCGAATTAATCAAAATATCTATTAAAATTTCATAACAAAAAACTT